GTGCGAAATGTGTGGTTGCTGCCTGGACATGAAACCGCCGGTGAAGATGAATTTCTTGGCGGATCATCCGTTTTTGTTTCTAATCAGAGAGGATGTGAGTGGAACTATTCTGTTCATCGGCCAGGTGCTTGATCCGTCCCTCCGCTGCTATATTATTTTTTTACTACAAGAATTTAACTTAGAAGTTCTTCGACCCGTACGAGTTGTTCTAGCAATTGATTTTCATGTGTAGGAATTATTTTTGACGTGGATTCTACTGGAATTGATTTATTTGAGAACAGTCTGACCTTAATTTAAAAAATTAAATCAATCTAGACAATGCCAGGATAAAATAAGATATAAAATGTCAACGGATAATTTAATTTATTACAAAACTTCAATAATAGAAGACAAAAAGTTAACTAATAAAAAAAGAGACTTAAAAATAGCTTTTTCTTGGAGAGTTGTAGAGGACAAAGTCTTAGTACTAGTTTTAGAAGTTAACTATGTGTAATAATCTTGATCATATATGCGTTATTAATGGTTTCTTTAATAATTAAAACTTTCATGTACATTATGGAGTAAAAAAGAATGTATTTCGTATGTACTTTGGAGTTGCAATATTTGTTGTATTAAATTATATATATTTCTTAAAATGGCAGAGCACTAAAAACAAAGAAAATTAAATAACATTTGCTTGCCTGGCAAAGCAAACAAAATATTCCTCCATTTGCAATTGCATTACAACAAATATTATTTTCTAAAATTTCTTATTTCCTAAATGAAGACAAGAGTAAGCACCTGAGCGATGAACAGAATAGTTCCACTCACATTTTCTCTGACAAGAAACAAAAACGGATGATCCGCCACGAAATTAACCCTCACCGGCGGTTCCATGTCCCAGGCGCATCCGGCCGTTCAGGTGGTGGAAGATCGTGGGCAATCCAGAGGCCAGAGGCCATTGGCGGTGGCGACGTTGAGGGCGGAATGATCGGCAAAGATGAAGGCGATAAGCTTGAAGAGGAAATAGTTGAGTTGAGTGATGGATTTGAAATTGAGGAAGGAGAGCAAATCGTGGAGCGGTTGGCCCGGCGGCGAGGAGGCTGAGCATCATGTTCATCGACAAAGGAGAGAACACGATGTTCGTTTCGTTGCCTTTCGTCTCGAATGCGCAATCCGACGTCGTTTTGTTGTATCGCAAATCCTTCGACGCCCATTACAGTCTATAACCAGATCAGAAGATTGGTAGAGTGTAGCCTGTAGCGTAGGGTGAAGAGATACTGAGATTTGATTGGGCAGAAAATTCGAGAGAGAAATTTGTGAGACTGAGTCACTGAGTCGTGTTAGCGCGGCGGGTGGCTTTTATCCATTAGGGTACGTTTTTTGTTTTATTATTATCATAATATTGATTCATTTACCCATAAATCGTGTAGAAGAAGAATTAAGGAAATCCTGTTCATCTCCTACCATTTATATATATAATCTACTTTTGCTTTTTCTTTCTTTTTTCTTTTTTTAATTTTTTGAAATAATAATAAGCAATATTCGACCACCAAATTACTCGGGATTAAGGTACGAGTTTCATCAACTATCCAGAAATTTTCCATGTACTAATTTTTAAGGTAGGTAACTATTATGGAGTTTGAACTCATTTTCACACATCCTTAGTCTTTTTTTTTTTTAGAAAATTTTCCATATATATATATATTTAGTACCAATGACATACCAAATAAGTCCGTAGTATTTCAGTAAAATTGCAACACTACAAAACAAAACGCAACACAAGTCACAAAATAATAATAATAATAAAATAAAAAATTTGACAACATTTTACATGTCAAAACTAAACATAATATCCCTCCATTTGAAACAAATATTTTTTTTAAATGGAGAAAATTTGTCTAACTTCCTCTTAATATTCATAATTTAAGAGGTCCGGAATTCAAGAGAGTAACATTAATTTTGCCTGATTTATTTATGAAAATGTTGTAAATTTATGTAATATTCCAAAAGTGTCCATACGAATATTGATATAATTTATACATTAATTTAATATAATTTTTATTTATATTGGATTTGTTTTTATTAATTTAGTATTTTCTTTTATGTATTTTGTACGATAAATTAATTCATATTAATATAAGATTTGTTTAAAAAAATATTAAAAGGTAGAAGAAAAAATGCAGAAAATAAAAAATAAAAAAATGGAGCAAATAAAAACAAAGACCATTAAAATGTAGAAAATTAAAATGCTCAAAGTAAAAATACAGAGCATAAAATAAAAAGCAGAAAAAAAAATAAATAATTAAATGCAGAAAATTGAAAGGTAGAAAAGTAAAATTCAGAAAATATAAAAATAAATTGCAATGTAAAAACTTAGAATGTAGAAAATTAAAATTAAAATGCAGTAATTTAAATACAGAAAAATATTAATGAAAAAAAAGTCAAATGCATAAAATTCTTGCCAAATAATTTTGAAAATGCAAAATTTTGTTGGATTCCATTTTGATTGTGTTTAAAATAAATCATTACAACAACTTTTTCAAAATTTTTTTGAAACAAAAAATCTTCTTAAATTCTTGATAAAAAAAACCTAAAAAAAGTATAACACAATATGGCCGAAAACAATGATGAAAACACAATCTTTCAATGAGAAGGTTCACTATCTTCACATAAATTCATAAAATAAAATATTAAAAAATTTAATAGAAAACACAATCGAAAGAAAGAAACATAAAGGAAAAATAGAAAGAAAGTTTATGTAAAAATAAATATCTAATATCAAATAACGATGCAGAGAAAACTAAGATTAAATTATAATTTCGATTTCCAAATAAATTGAGAGCAGAGAAGAGACAATGCACACTCAGGAAAACTAAGATAAAATTAGGGGCCATTGGATTGTTTGACTACTAATAGAGATAAATGCAAAAATAGATTTTAAATTAACGAGTTGTCCTCAACGGTGGTGAGAACAATATTTGGGAAAATGAGGGTAGGGTGCAATGTTTTTAATGTAGATTGAAAATATCAAGGTCTCAATAATTTTATGGAAATGTGGATGAAAATGTCAATAAAATGTCAATGATATTTATGTAAAAGTTATAAAAACGAAAACCTTCAGAAAATATTTAAATTAACAATATTTCACAATTTCTAAATAAATTGAAAGTGATTAATATTAATATTATATCTATATTATTGAAATTTTGTTAATATTTTTTTTAGATTTGTCCATTTATTTTGTAATTATATGGAAATGTTGATTTTGGAAATCATAATATAAGGAAATGAATGCCACCGTATGTATTATTAGGGAATAGATTCAAATTTTGAATTTTTTGATATAAGGAAATAACTGCCACTGTATGTAGTATTTGGAAATAATTGTCATGGATTAGGTTTGATAAATTAAAATATTGATTTAAAAAAAAATATAAAATCACATGAATTGGTTGAAATCAAGCACATATAATTTAATCGGTATTACTTTGTTCATGAAATCGACGTGATACAATTTGCCTTTAAACAGAGTCTCAAGAATGTTTTAAAACGAGGGCTTTAGGGGAAGATCGTCGGCGATCCAGACGCCATTAACTGTTGTTGAGGTCGTCAAGAGTGAACAAACAAAGTTTCATATTGATTAGAGAAGAGATGACCATGTCTTGATTTTTTAAAAAAATCATACAGTGGCGTCAATAAAGCGCCATGTCCTTATGATTGTCTCGACCGACTACGAAAAATGACGTAGTCGTCTCTTGTGAGTGGAGAACGAATTTATTATTTTTGGAATAAGTTTTAAAAGAATATATTTTCTTTAATTTTATTTAATGCAGTATTATTTTAAATAAAAACATTATTTTAAAAAAATCCCCTAAAAATAGCTATTTGAGATAATTTCCTTGCATGAGCTCTTCCATCATCCAAATTTATATGGGATTTAACCTAAAGAATATAATAATCCTTATTCTACACTTTTTATGGAAAATATCCTTATACCAATATTATTATAAAACAAAAACCTAACCTAAAAGCCCCTCCCCACGGCCCGCACTAACACGACTCAGTGACTAACTCACAAATTTCGCTCTCAAATTTTCTGTCCAATCAAATCTCAGTCTCTCTTCACCGCCGTCGTACGCTACATCCGCCGCCGCAGATCGCCATTCCTCTTCTGGTTATAGACTGCAATGGACATCGTTAAAGAATCGGCGAAAGAACTAAACGACGTCGGATTGCGCATTCTGAAGCGACTACTCGAGACGGAAGGCAAAGAATCGAACCTCGTGTTCTCTCCTTTGTCGATCAACATTATGCTCTGCCTCCTCGCCGCCGGAATTTCGAAGGGCCAACCGCTCGACGATTTGCTTTCCTTCCTAAAATTCAACTCCATGGATCAACTCAACTCCTTCGTGTCCAAGATTATCGCCTTCATCTTCGCCGATCATTCCGCCACCGACGGACCCTGCGTCACCACCGCGAACGGCGTCTGGATTTCCGACGATCTTCCTCTCAAGCCCTCGTTTCAGAACATTCTGGAGACTCTGTACAGAGGCAAATTGTATCAAGTCGATTTCGTGAACAAGGTACTACCGATTAATTAATTTGTTAGTTTTTAGAAATTATATATGTCTGATTTCTCGCCAATTCTATTCGTTGTTTGGTGATTGARTTGAAATTGATATTAGTCGGCTGAAGTGGTGGAAGAGGCGAATTCTTGGGTGGAAAAGGAGACCAGAGGACTCATCCCCCAAATCTTCACCAAAGATACGGTAAATGAATATAGCAGAATGATTTTAGCAAATACAGTGTACTTCAAAGCGGCGTGGTTGTATCAATTCTATGAAGAAGCAACGAAGAAGGAGGAATTCCACCTTTTGAATGGCGGATCTGTGGAAGTTCCTTTCATGCGTAGCAGTGACAACCACGTGGTTGCTGTTTTCGACGGCTTCAAAGTCGCATCGCTTTGTTACTACGAAGAAGACGACGAACGCCGTTTCTCAATGKACATCTTTCTCCCCGACGCTCACGATGGATTGCCTTGGTTACTCCAGAGAGCCTTCTCCGAGTCCGGATTCCTCGATCGCCATAGCCCGCGTCATTCTTCCTTGGAGGTTGAAAAATTCAAAATTCCAAAGTTCGATCTCGAGTTGCAATTTAGCGTGGCGGAGATTCGGGAGGATTTAGGGCTCGAGTCGCTGTTTTCGATCGGGTCGGGTTTTACGGAGATGGTGGAGGATCCGGAGGRGAAACTACTGTATGTTTCGAATATGGTCCATAAAGCGAAGATTATCGTCGACGAAAAGGGGACGGAGGCCGCGGCGGTGACGGCGTGCGAAATGTGTGGTTGCTGCCTGGACATGAAACCGCCGGTGAAGGTGAATTTCTTGGCGGATCATCCTTTTTTGTTTCTTATCAGAGAGAACGTTACAGGAACTATTCTGTTCATCGGCCAGGTGCTTGATCCTTCCCTCCACTAATCTAATTACTTTTCTTTTTCCCTTTTTGGTAAGAAATACTCTTCTGTTCGTTTATTTTTCTTGAACCGATGTCTAGGAGTGGACAAAAGTTATTGAACTCGACTTTATTATATACAAAATTACAAATTTATAACCTATCAGGGACATAGACTATAGCTATTCTTATTTTTAGGAAAATATATAGACCATAGTTGTAATTTTACCTTGATATTTTTTAATTTTCATTTGTAATATTTTTGCTAGTTTGAAAAAAAAAGGACCTATGTCGATTTGTGTAAAGGATAGGGTTAGATTTTAAAAGCCCATATAAATGGGGCCCATAAAGTGAAGCCGTGGGCCGATTAGGAAAGCTGCTGATCCAACACCTATGGCTATGGCTATGGCCTACTATGCTTTTATCATCTTTTTTAATTCCCTTTTTGGTATCTTCTACTCAAGTATTTTAAACGTAGTCTAGTTTCATTTTCATGAAAATATCGATAATGTCTATGTCGATAAATATTTCTCTAAAAGTTATAGAAATTAGAAAATTAGAAAATATTTAAATTAATATATAAGTATTTTTCTATTTTTAAATAAGTCCAAAGGATTAATATTGATATTAGGTATATATCAGTGATATATTTCTTCATATTTTGTCGATTTTTCGTAATATGATGTAAATTTCGATTTATCCCTCATGTTAACGTAGAACTCATGAATACATGGAACATGGACATGTCGACGTGTCGACGAATATTTAATACATGTTTTTTTTTTCAAAAGTCAAATTTTATGTAATCTTGAATGAATTTTTTAAATCCGTATGTCAAGTCACTTTTAATATGATAAAATTCATAAACTAAATACGATAGAGGGAGAAAGAGAGAGACCACGCATTTGAATGGTATTTGAAATATATATACTTAGTTCTAATCCTTCCCTTATATGTGTAGATTAGCAATGAGAGGATTCCAACTTTTGATTTTTAAGAGAGATCACAACTAAAATTTAACCAATATAGAACCTAAAATACACATTCTGAAACCTTTTTTCTTTTTTTCCCTTTTTAGAAACAAATTCACTCAAGAAGGAATCTCAGCAAATACGAATTCCAAATTGACTCCTCTATATCTTCTGTAAAATACCGCGCTATCTAATCGTCAGATAACCTCGATGGAAACCACTCATTTTTAGACCATCAAAAATTTGAAACTTTAAAATTTGAAAGTACATAAATTAAAATAAATTTAGATTTAGAGTACAAGGTAAATGCTATTAATATAATAAAATAAGAAAGAAAGGAAAAAGTAACTATCAGGGTATGACTCATTTCTGAAGATTACTAATCCTACTATAAATAGTATGTATATGTCTTCCTTTAAAATTTCAATCTCATTCCTTTGAAATAATAATAATAATAATTCACACGATAATGAAACCAAAATAGTAGGAAATATTACCGTTATGCAGTTTGGGCGTTGCAATGAAATCAAATCTGGAGAGATGGGTGCAGGAGCAGGAATCTGCCACGTCAGACTACCACTGAGCTCTGAACCACGTGACCCAACACACAATCTTATATATTTAATTTAATTTCGTAAAAGCACCCCCATTTCTCCAGATTTGCAGATGGGCCACCAAGGTCGGTGCCGAAATTTTAAATTATTTCAAATTATAACCCATTTATTACACTCCATCTCTAAAATTTAAATATTATGGGAGGGCGGATCGGCCGTAACTCCCCGCGTGGCCGTCACGTGGGTGGCGCGAATTTTGAAAACTTCCCAACGCTGCCCCTGCCCATCTCTTTTTTTATTACATTTCCGCATCTGTCCCTACTTTTTCGTGGTATTACAAGACTACCATCGTCGCCATCTTTCTAGTTTCTACCATTTTTTTTGTCTAAAATTTACTTTACACGTGTACAAAATTAGTTTATAAGAGCATCTTAAATTAAATATTAAATCAACCAAAGTAACAGTTTAATAAAGGAAAGTTTATTGGTCCATTAAAATTAATAGAATAAGTTCCAAAAGTCAAATTGAATGTTTAATCAACCTATCTAATAAAAAGTGATTATCAGATAAATCAAAATCAAATCAATTCACCTAAAATTTAATATATATATATATATATCCGATACTTATTGAAAGAAGGTTTTTTTTTTCTTTTCTTTTTTGGGTAGAAAAGATGTGGGAATTGGATTTTGGGATAAGGATTAATTCTTTTTTTTTTTTTTGGGATATGATTTGACGTGCATGGATTGCACCAATCCTCCTTTCACTATTTTCTTTTTCTAATTTCAGGTGGGCTCTCAAGTTCACCAACCAAACATTTCACTAATTATTTAATCAAAAACAATATCCCATAAAAGAAATAATACGATATAACCCATCACTTTTTTTCTAGTTCTCAAAGACATCTTTATAAATTCTCAACACTTAGAAATAAAACAATGAACCAGCTTTTAATATATTTAAATAAATATGTTATATAATATATACTTTACTTTTGTTATTACTTGTCGTTTCAAAATGGTCACGGGAAATATGAGGTCATTATTCAAATAAATTTATGCTCATTTTTCTGAAGTATAATATATTACAATTTACCTATGGTTCTTTATCTTGTCCAATTATTTTTTTTCTTTCTTATTAAATATTATTTGTATACCCAACTAGCCAATATATACTCAATATACACGTCGGAGTCGTCATTTAGTTAACAATTATAACAATATAAAATTACAACTCAACTTGTGTAAAAGATATTATTGTAATTTAAACTTGTTTCAATTTATTGGGTATATCTAATAATTATAATTTAGAGATGCAAATATATTTCAACTAATATTTTTTTCGTTCTTGCAAATGATATATTACAAAATTTATTGAATCTAACAATTTAACATTAACGCACAATTAGAAAATTCAACTTGAACGTAGTTTATCATAACATATTTCTACCGACTTTAGATATAAAAGAGTTCCTGACAACAAATTATAAACAACCAACATAACAATAAATTATGAACAACCTAATATAATATATAAAAACGAAACAAGGATGAACCAAAATGAACAAAATAAAAGAAAAAAAGGAAGAAAACCCAAAATAAAAATGTTTGGTATATTATCTCCTCCATCCTTAAATCTATTAAAATTTACATTATTTCCGTATAGCAAACTTTTATTCTTTATGTAGAAAGACGACAAGGACATGAATATTGGGAACAACCGGATTAAGAAATAATGTTTAGGTTTCAACTTAATTATGGTAATTAATTAAATATCCATATCATTCAATTAATTAATCTACCCAATCAAGGCTTCCCATATTACTTTTATGTTATTATATGTCTCTATTGTTAGGTAGTAATAAAATATAATAGTGTTGGCCTTCTTGATAAATTTAAAATTTCGAAGGCTCAATTTAATTATTTTAAATTTTAAAAAAATTAGACTTATTAATATTTATAGATTTCATCTCAAAATCAATTGACTGAGATAAGTCTTTTCAACGTGGGATCCTTAACATGATCGTGACTCTTTTGGCTTATCAATCTTGATAGCGTTATGGACTCTGATACCATATTAATATTTATGTGTTCCATCTTAAAATCAATTGGCAGTGAGAATTGTAGTTTTTTTTTTTGTTTTGGTTAAATTATGATGTAATAGTTGTTTATTTTTTAATTCAAATTAAAATCACGTTATTTGTGTAATTTTTTAAACTCGTTTTTTTTAATTGCCTTGTAATTTTTTTTCAATTAAATTGTAATAGTTATTAAATTTATATTTAATGTTATGTTCATAATTATCCCACATTTTTCTAATTACAAGTTGTTGTAGTTTAAAAATTTTCATGTTTTTCTCGTGAGAATTTTATTTTAGACTATAATTGTTTTCATGTTTTTAACGTTTCTTTTAACTTCAAATATTTCACTTATGTCCAAGAACTTTGCAAAAATCAAACTTTTTTAATCTTTTTAATAAATTATTTAAGAAAAATCTGTTTTGTTTTTTTTTCATTTGTCCTTTTAAATGCAACAAATGCGTAGTTGGGAATTCACTCCCTTGGTATCTTTATTGGTCTATTTAAATGCTTGACGAATATCTATTTATAAAAACAAATATTTAAAGTCACCCCTTAAAAGTTTAAATTATCCATTTAGTTTGTATGTTTTGAGCTTAGTTTAAAGTTGGTCCTTATAATAATAAGAAAAAAGGTTGGTCCCATAATTTATGTTTAGTTCTAATTTGTCCCAATAATTTTAAGCATTTTAATTTGGTCGTCATGGTTTAATTAAAACTTATAGACCCTCTTATTACATACCTAAAATTCATATATTTACCTTTATTTTTTATTTATGGTCAAACACTCTGACATATTAAGCTAATACGACAAGTTAAATAGAAAACACTAATTCATAGTATGCATTCATAATGATTTGTGAGATTTAATCCAACAATAAAATTAAAAATCAAAACTTTTAAAACCATAAAAACTAGAATGTCTATTTTAAATCGTATTAATATTCTAATGGAGAAATTAATTTGCAATTAATTATTGTCATTATTATCCCTACTTGGTGTCGAAGTAATCTAAATCTAGTTATAAAAGCCAATAATTAAATCCTAAAAAGTGAAACACGAGGAGGGCATAATCGTAATTAAAAGGAAAGTGGATGGCAATTAGATGTAAAGCAAGCGCGCGGCCAGGGCCAGGTGCGAGCTCCTCGAACACCGAAAATCCCACGCGTTATGTCGCATACGCTCTCCTCTACACATAAACAAAACTCCATAGTTTTTTCCCCATTTTTCCTTTCTTTCAAGTTTATCACAAACAGTCATCAGACTTCAGAATTCAGAAGTAGCCTTTCTATAATATTATTTAATGACCTGAAAAATCGCCCCTCAATTTTGTTACTCTTACTTCCCCTTCCCCTTTATCGGAGTTTTCAAACAAAAGGGCTTTCCTTTTCTTTCCTTTTCTTGTTCTGGTTTCTCCATTATTGGTTTTGGTTTCCTTTCTCTCTGTTCAACTAGTTGGAAGGAAGATTTTTGCTACTTCTCTGCTTCCGTGGAGAAACCCAGAAGAAAAAAAAAGGCGGTGAAAGATCAATTATGGTGGAAACAGCCAACCACCACCAGCATACTCCGCCGGTGTCGGTGGCACCCTCGGCGCCGCCGCCGAATTTAGCATTGTCCAGAGGACCCACTTGGACTCCGGCCGAGCAGCTTCAGCAGTTGCACTACTGCATCCACTCCAACCCTTCTTGGCGTTAGTTTCCTCTGTTTCCCTCTTCGATCGGTTTCTGGGACCTGTTATTTTTCTTGTACAAATGTTTTTTGTGTTGTAATTTTATGGAAAATCTTGTAAAGTTTGAATCTTTATGTCATGGGCTTCCTTTTTTTTTATTTTTATTTTTTATCTATCGAACATCAGATTCAGTTCAGGAAATGGTTTGGTAATTCCTCTTTTTGAATATTATTTCTTTTTTGGGTTCTCCTTTACCTAATTCCATCTACTTTTCACTATACTTTATTCCGATTCTCCTTTTTCACTTGTTTGCAGTTGACTTGAAGCATTTCCTTTCGGATACTGATTTTTGTTTGTTTTTCTTCTGAGATTCTGAGTTGTAGAATCTCCTCCGACCCTCTTTATGTTTAATCTAAATCTTACTTTTTCAAATACTAAGGGCTTTTTACTACTGGAATTTGGCAGCCGAAGCTGTTTTACTGGCTTTTCAGCACTATATTGTGATGCTTGGGACCATAGTTCTTATTGCCACTACGCTTGTGCCTAGAATGGGCGGCAGCCCTGTAAGTGAGCTCTAAATTGTTATTCTTTTGTCAAAAACAAAAAACTAGAGCTTGATGGACCATTTTAACATGTTTTGATTCTGATTAGTTGTGATGAATTGTAAATGTTTGACAGGGTGATAAAGCTAGAGTGATTCAAACTTTACTCTTCACGGCGGGATTGAACACTTTGCTTCAAACAACTCTCGGGTCGAGGCTTCCGTCGGTGATGCGGGCGTCTTTTGTGTTCACTCTACCTGTATTGTCGATCATCAATGATTTCTCTGATAGGACCTTTGCAACTGAACATGAGGTATATATGATGTTTAGCTGTTTAGCTGTTTATTGGGTGGCATTGGGTTTCTCTTTTCTTTGAGCTATTTTTTACTTTTTCCATTGTGTTGTCTCCAGTGTTTTGAAGAATGACTTAGGAATTCGTCCTACTTCGATATGATCCTTTTGGGAGAAGTACTTAATTGTTGTTTTAATCAAAGAGTGCTTGTTAGATAAGTTTTTCCCTTAGCACTCTCAAATACACTCTAAATATCCATGTTCGTCGATTATCAAATGGTGGTTCGAAAGTGCGACTTTTTTGAACAATTATGTGTGAATGTAAAGTGTTAACGAAGGAACATAGAATTTTGGCATTATAAGAATGGGAACGTAGAATTTTAGTATTATAAGATGACTAAAGTGGTTCTCTTTCTAAGCTCATATGAGATATTATAATTCAATCTATTTCTCAAGGTAATGGTGCTTTGCCATCAATTCTCCATATTAGCTACGACTTGTAGTTGTTGAAATTTTTTGTTTCGGGCTACTTATGTTATGTGGGGTCAAGTTGTTTTAGGATTTCGTGAATGTAACCACTGTGTATGGACATGTTTTTGCAGAGATTTACCTACACTGTCCGTACAATCCAAGGGTCGTTGATCGTTGCTTCAATTATAAACATTATACTTGGATATAGTAGGGCATGGGGGCATCTCACAAAGTAATGATTATTTCATGCTTGTTATCTTAGCCCCCTACCCACAAGTCATCCTTTCTTCTGCTTGCTACTCGTTTCCATGGATAATGGCATCATGCTTGAATTTTTGTTGTTCTTATTATCGTTTTCCTCTTTGTTGTCAGATTTTTTACTCCTGTAGTCATTGTACCTCTGGTTTGCGTGGTTGGTCTTGGTCTGTTTATGAGAGGCTTCCCGATGGTATAGTTCTGAATGCTTCTGAATATACGTACATGATTTTTGAAATAATAGAGAGAAGTATGAATATGTGCTATTTTTTCTGTGCAGCTTGCTAATTGTGTGGAGATCGGCTTGCCGATGCTGATTCTCCTTGTTGTAGGTCAGCAGGTAATTTCATTTTCTTAGGCTTTGCTTCTTTATCATTAATTCATTATGTTAATGTTTTCTATTTTTTTTAGTATTTGAGGCGTATCCATCCTCGAGCCAGCGTTGTACTTGAGAGGTTTGGTTTGCTTATCTGCATTGCTCTTGTTTGGGCTTTTGCTGCTTTCCTCACTGTAGCTGGAGCTTACAACCATGTCCGGGAACTGACTAAACAGAGTTGCCGTATAGATCGTTCGTTCCTCATATCGTCTGCCCCTTGGTATGTTCAGGTGGAACAGTATTAATTGGCTGTTCTAGTGCTAACATTGCAAATGAATTTCTCATCCTACTCTTTTAATCAAACAATCTCTGGTGCTTTGTGTAGGATTAGAGTCCCTTATCCATTTCAGTGGGGTACTCCGATATTTCGAGCCAGCCATGTATTTGGCATGATGGGGGCTACGCTCGTTACATCTGCAGAGGTCAATTTTCTATTCAAGCAAAAGCTAAATCCTGGGGTTACTTACAAAACCTTTGACATCTAAATTCTGTTTTATTGCAGTCAACTGGGACATTTTTCGCAGCAGCGCGGCTTTCAGGCGCTACGCCACCTCCAGCATACATTTTTAGCCGTAGTATTGGCATGCAGGTATACATATAAAACGCCATTGAGGCCGTGTCGGTTTTCCACTTCCATTCAAATTGTGAAAATATGAGTGCATTTTTCTGTCTGCAGGGTATTGGCCTGTTGATTGAGGGAATTTTCGGTTGCATCGCAGGCAACTCTGCATCTGTGTAAGGAGTTTTTCTCATTACAAAAATTCCTACCCTTTATTGCTTTATGCTTTTGTAGTACAGCGATTTTTTCACATAAAAAAACACTTCAGAAAACGTCACTTTGGACCATGTCTGCATCGAGCATCAAATATTAGATTAGAAAAATATGCTTCAACTAACTTGGCTGTGATGGTGTTGCAGTGAAAATGTTGGCCTTCTTGGACTCACACACATAGGAAGCAGGAGGGTTGTGCAGATATCAACTGCATTCATGATCTTCTTTTCCATCTTTGGTTTGTTTTCTTTTCTTTCTCGAATCGTATTACTTTTCCCAACGTGTTCTTCGTTATCATCACATTTCCCGTATTTTTCAGGTAAGTTTGGCGCCTTCTTTGCATCCATTCCTTTACCTATATTCGCTGCCATATACTGTGTTTTATTCGGCATTGTTGGTGAGTCCTTTTTCTCCGTAATTGCGAAACTCATACACAGTTCTCTAATTGCGAAACTCATCCACAGTTCTCTAATCGATAGAAATTATGTTGATTCCCTTTCATTTCTTACCTGCAGCTGCCACAGGGATCTCATTCATGCAATTCACCAACAACAATTCCATGAGAAACCTCTACATCATCGGCCTCTCCTTGTTCCTCGGCATCTCAATACCTCAATATTTCGTCACGAACACATCACAAGATGGCCGTGGACCTGTTCAAACGGCTGGCGGATGGGTCAGTCACAGAAAAAACCCCTCTCGACTACGTTATTCTTTCTGTTACTGCCGTCTTCTCCTTAACACTTAATTTGTTATGCAGTTCAACGATATCCTGAACACCATCTTCTCATCTCCTCCTACAATCGCCATAATCATCGGAACACTGCTGGACCAAACGCTCGAAGCAAAGCACGCGATGAACGACCGAGGAGTCTCATGGTGGAAACCGTTCCAGCACAAGAAAGGAGACGTCCGGAACGATGAATTTTACAGCTACCCTCTGAGGTTAAACGAGTACATACCAACCAGATTCCTCTGAAAAAAAAAAGTTACTGCTTGCTTTGTTTTTATGTTTTGTTTATATTACTGTGACGAATATACAGCCTTGGCCACTGGCGGTGGTTCTGTATCTGATATAGCGGAGGTAGAGAAATCAGAAATGTTTCAAACATGTAGAGATTTTTCTTACTGATTCCATTTTTTCTTCCTCAAAAAGTCACTCGAAAGTGATCGATTAATCAATGAAATGAAAAAGTTCAGGTGGGTGTTTTGGGAAAAGATTTAAAGGATTTGCAGGGAAATGTGAAAGCTTCAGAAAAGTCGTCGGTTATGGTGGTTGTGAAATGAAGCAAAATCCCATCTTTTCCCCTAATTTTTTATGAAGCAATTTGGGGAATCGAAGGTGACAGATGAAACTTCTCCCCAGTTTACATGATTCTCTCGGTGTTTGTCTTCACCGGGACAATTTGGTCTCTTTGCTGTTAAAGTCTCGTGATTGTTAGGTACGATTGTTTTGGATATTTATCAACAATTTTAGTACCATTGTAATGATATGTAAATTTATTTTGGTAACACTTTTGTTATTTTAAAAACGTCTATTTTGATTATAGATTGTGATGGATAAAACTAGAAAGTAGAATGATTAAAATAAACCAAAGTTAAAAAGACGTTCTGAAAGAAGACCGAATTAGGATTTAAACCTAATTTAATCAAATTAACTTTATTTGTCTGTCAAGGAAAAGAGGAACAAAGAGGAAAAGAGCCACCTTAGAAAAGAGAGAGCCACCGTAGAAAAGAGGTCGTCATTATCATTAAATGCCACTTTGTCTAAGGCTCGACTGCAATGGTGAATGAAATAAGCATCTAACATATGTAAAAGAGATTGCCATTATCATTAAAGGCCACTGTTCAGGAAAATAAGCATCTAACATATGTAGATGTTTACGTTAGAAACGTTTGGCCTGCACGAATTTCTAGATTCGATGCATTAGAATCCTTGAATTCATATATTATATAGGTTGATTTGAGCTGCCGACGTGAAAATAATTCAACTAGTAAAAACGTTACTTACCTCATTCAAGGTTAGATGTTCAAATCTCTCCCACTCAAAAAAAATATACAACTACAACTTAAACCACGTACTAAATATAAGATAGACTTTGCAAGTTTAAGTCGAGAACCAAACACTTTGGTAATAACTTCTCGAACGGGATAGGTTTGATTTGAGGGTAAAGGTCCATTTCTCTCCAAAGTAGTGAAAGATGGAAGAGGATTCTAAGTCACTTTCCGAGGCTTCAAGATTCCGTCCTCCTCAAAACCAAACAAATAGATAAATACAAACGAGTGGGCAACCCTGATGGGCAGCCCTGCCTTGGACATAGTGGGCAACCCTGATGTAAACTGATTGTGGTGTGGGGAGTGATTGAAGATTACATCTGCAGAACATTTCAAACTTGTCAATATCTATAATACCATCAAAAGTCCTCTGCATGGAGTTTCCTAGTAGTTTCCATGGAGTAATATCATTTTTCTATTCATATCTACTTTCATTTTGACTAAACTACATCCATAACCTTGATTTTGGATAGATATTTCTGTTCAAGTGATGTTATGGAATTCGAACTCGAAGATTATATACTTGTTTTCGGTCGGTAAGTTCTGAAGATAAATAACCTTCTTCAACAAGAGATTCAAGGGTGGATCATAAAGGCCAGAACTCTAAAACTCTCCTTATTTAATCACTTTTGAGATAATGAAGAAGTTATGTACATGGAAAACCAACACTGACTAAGTTGACGATCATTCGTTGAGCCAGTCTAGACCAAAGCATTTCTCAGCGACTTGAATGTACAAATGAGGCAGATGACTCTTCAAATCCTCCCATAACCACGATACCTCTTCTTCGCAGACTACGTGACAGAGAGATTGCAAGCTCTCAACTGAATTGGGTAGTCTCCAGATCTGTGAGCATTCTCTCATGTCAATTTTCTCTAGGTTTGCCAGCTTACCAAATTGTTCAGGAAGGCTGATCAAGTTAACACATTGAGAGATGTCAATGTACTTCAGACAAGAAAGTTCACAAATGCCTGGTGGTAGAGTTCTGAGAAGTGGGCAAGCAAAAAGCCTCAAGATTTGCAGATGTTTTAGATTCCAAAAGTTGGCAGGTAGTTGACTTAGACTATGGCAGTTTGTGACACTAAGACACTTGAGACTTTGCATCTCACAAATGCTTGAAGGTAGCGTAACCAAGTCATTGCAGTGATCGATTATGAGCTCTGAAAGGCACGGGAAGATCTGGGATGGGTTTGCCACTGACTCGGCGAGGCTGTCATTAACCTTGCAGAAGACTAGAGATATCTTCCTCAGATGTTTCAATTGAGTATAAACATCTAATAGTTGAGTAATGGAAACTTTTTCCAGCCAGATGCCTCTCAGGTAGTTCAAACTGGAAAAAACCGAGAAATTTCTGAGAGTTGCATGTGTTGCATTGTTATTTAGCACAACCAGAGCTCTCAGCTTCGGCATGTTGCCGATAAAAGGAGGCAAGAAGTATTCACTTGAGGAGAAGTTTAGAATGAGCACTTCAGCATTGGGAAATATCATCTGCGTCCAATCCATTTCTTTCATTTCACCTGTCATTAAAGTGTATTGAATGTGAGCTTAAACTTCAAGGGCAAAACATGAAAAGCTTATAATCATAAACATGTCTCTCGGTGACTTGAAACTTTATAGAATGCCTTCAAGGAAAGCAATCAATCACCTGTGTGAATTGAAACTACTTGCGCATTGAATGGCTGATCTGATTTTCTTAACCATTCTTTTGGAAGTTCGGTTTCACTTTTTGGCATCAGCAATCGCTTGCGGTCGTTTACATTCTCCCGGCTACTGAAATGAAGAGCAAGGTCCCTCAAGACGTCGTGTTGGGTGACAGACATCTCATAATAACTGCTGTAAATATCACCACCGCTGCATATTAACCAATTAAGCATTAAACGACGTATCGTGATGTCTAAAAAGGTTACTTAAATGAGTAATGCACATACCGTGCATCTTTCACCAGGGTAAGGAGATTCTTCTGAGATAACTCGAAAAGAACAGCAAGAGCTTCTTCTTCATCGAGGTCGTGCAACTCCTTCCAAACGTTGATAAGAACATCAAGAGGAATCTTCTTGTCTTCGGGAAAACATCCCAAATCAAGGAAGCAATCTCTCACTTTACTCGAGAGGCGTTCGATACTAATTGCCATTCTTCGAAGCAATTTGTTCTCATGAGACTCACAAATAGGTTCACCTCGCGACAATCTGTTCTTTGCACTATTCCAGAACATCTCACTCTGTCCTCTAAGAGACGCTCCTATGACTTTAAGAGCCAGTGGCAGACATTTGCATTCATTCACAACCTTGAAAGCAAATTTACAAACAAACGAGTGAAATAAAACAACAAAATTAGACGTTTTGAAGACAATTGTCATTTGTCTAAACCAATATAAGGAATGTTTTGTTCCTCACCTGCTTGACCAAATTCTGGTTAGCAGAAGAAGGAACCGACTCTTGTCCGTAAGCGGAGCGACAAAACAGAGCAATTGCTTCACTTTCCCTCAATAATTCCACTTCATAAGTTGCTCTAAGAACTTCAGGGAATTTGGATCGTGAAACCACAAGAGTTCTGCAGCCAGATATGTTTGGAATGAGCTTCTCAAGAACTGAGATTGACCACACATCGTCCAAAACCAGAAGAGCTGAATTTGCAGGCCTCCCTTGTGAAACGGGACCATTAGAACTGAAACTATCGCTACCCAGCACATATCCCCAAATCGTTCTCCTCAGTTGCTCCACATCAGGGGACTGTGACACCGTCAAGAACAAGATTTTCTCTTTAAAGTAACCTGAAAAGGTGGAAACAAGCGATAGCAGTAAGAATAGAAACAATCACTTTCCATAAACGTTTATACCAAAAAGAAGATTAACGATCCCGAGTGTCTATTTACCCCTTTAAAGCTACAGTATCCACGGAAAACTCTAACGGCTATTCGCTCCATTAGAAAGAAAATTCCTATTTTAGAGCAAATTTTCTTACCTCTTTTGCTTGAAAGTCAGAAACCAAACAGATATAGTACTAGCTTTGCGACGAAAATTTTAAAACGAGAGAAAAGGGACAGAGAACAAAAATAACTCACTTCGAACTTCAGGATCTTTGCAAAATTCTCTAGCTAAAGTCGTCTTTCCCGATCCCCCAATTCCACTAATGCC